TATAGTTACTGCCACTGCTCTGTAGCATACTCCCATAATGATACCACTCTTTTCTTTCCTTTCTACCCTCAATCAAAAAGATATCCATTCTGTCTATGGGATATGTTCCTTTCTACATAGATAATTTCTTGAAGTTCAGTGCTATTCCTCTTTTCATTCTTTAAGTTGTCTCTGTTTCCAAAATACACACTCTCTAGTTGTGGATTGCTAGTTGCAATTCTTATTTTGTCGAGCAAGCCTCAGTGATATTATGGAGATTATGCACACACACTCACACACATATTTTAACTTTACTGTGTTCTCTATACATTGTGCATTTGGGGCCAATCCAAGTTTTGTTGGGTCTTAAGCTTTTATAATTTGGGGAGCCCCCTTCAAAAATGGGATATAAAATTGTCGATATAACATTACTAGGGCCACTCCTAAGCCCTTGGAAGTGCAAATGAGGTGTTTTAAAACATAAGCTTCATTAGCATTCAGGTAAAGGTGTTCCTGTGTGCATTTGTGGTGGGTGAAGGAGGATGGCTACCATTAAAGTTGCTAGGTTGGGAATTCCAGGACTAGCACGGTATGGCCTTCAAACAGGGAAAAGGCTGAGAAAAAAGGGAAGCCCCATAAACAACTTAAAATATGTATCTGACTTTTAGGTTTAATTTCCCTGTTTTAGTTCTCTTTAAAAACAATTGTGTTTTTTATAGTAGCATTCCAGTTTTCAATAGTGATGAGACCCATATTCAGCTAGGATCAGATTTCCAAGGCCTCATTTTAGAAACAAGCATAGCTCAAATCATGCCGAGCTTAAGAGCATTCCATGACAAGTGACAGAAGCTTTGCAAACTATGGTCAGAAGGCACATTTCATGACCTTTAGCCTGAGAAACATCAGGTGGCTTGTTGTTTTGTCCCAGAGGAGTAGCACATAGGAAAAAACAAAAGGAGCAGTTCAAGACCATGGCAGAAACCCTACATTTGCAAAAGTATCTCCATAAAGAAGAAAGAACCTTAGGAAGGTCCTTTAGCCCAATAGTTTCCAAAGAGGTTCCTCCTTCAACAGGGACTTCCTGAGACTCAATACGATGCTCCAACCCCTCACAGTTATGTGAGGAGATACTGGATCTGGAGTGTCTGCAATTACAAAAGCGTGAAAATATCTTTGCAACACGACTGTTATATAATCTTATTTCACTATTCCCACTCAGGACCACTAATTGTAGACAGCACATTTCTCCTAACAGAACTTTGCAAGATACTCATTTTTATATATGAGGTGTTCGAGTAGAGGAAAAACAATGAAAGGCAGAACTTTTTGTGGGTTTAAATGCTTAATAAAGCATTTTATAAGATTCATTTTTAAAAGTGTCTATCAAGATATATATTGCCAATCATAAATGTGTAAATAAAGAAGAAGGAAAAGCAGCCTAGCATCTTTTGAATCTATACTTTTCATAACACACACATGCTCTAGCAGTGCAATTTCTCCAGATTATGATGGTTGGCAATTTATGAGAAAATGAATATGCATTTTTTTGTATATAAGGATGAATTACTGATTTGGGAGTTGTTTTTCCAAAAAAGCATCACTGGCCAGCTAAAGAAGAGGTGCTGCAAGGGCCAAAGAATGGAGAGATGCACACTGACCTCTGGGAGATCAAACCTATGCCCTTGGTACCATGTCCACAGTACTCCTACCAGCTGATTTGACAGTAACCTTGCCATTTAGCATCTCCGGTCTGCTAAGCACAATCGTTCACAAACACAGCCTCCTTCAAGTTATCTTCACTGAATAAGGATTTTTCCCTGCCAAAACCTCTCTGGAAGAAATAGTAATGGATTTTACTATTTTTTAAGCATTGAAAATTGCTGAGTATTTTTTCTCTGCAAGTTTCTTAAGCTTGAAATCCATGCGTTCTCCCTGTGAGGTGATCCACTTGGTAATCTCTTGTCAGGCAGTCACTGGCTACTCTGGGGCTATAACTGGGTTCCATTTCTTTTTATAAAGCCCTTGTTATTTCTGTTAGGAGGGCTTGAAAGCTGAAAGGGGGAAAGGGGAACTGGATAGCTCATGGGTCTAGCTAATGTAATCTGATCTCACTTACACTGAAGCTTTTTTGAATTTGGCTCCTCTTCACACAGTCTCAAAATATGCACCAACCCGTCAACAGTCATTGACAAGCCGGTTCTGGAGTCAGACTGCCTGAGTTGGAAGTAGGCTCTCCGATTACTAGCTGTGAGGCTTTAGGAAATTTACTTCATCTCTCTGTGCCTCAATTTCCTTGCTTATGAAATGGGGATAATTAAAACCCCGGAAGAGATTTTGACAAATTAAATGAGATAATATATACAATAATACCCTTAGTCCAGAACATATAGTTAGCACTCAAAATTTAGCTATTAAAAAATAGCAACAATCAAAAGTTACAAATTGTCCAGAGCTTTATAATAACAGAATGGATTGGAGGAGAAAGGGATGGAATAAACATGAGACATACAGTGTTGGCAGGGAAAGTTTTTCTGGGCAAAACACAGTGTGACAAGTTCCTAGACCCTGGATGGACTAGTCTTATTTTTACGCAGTTTGAGGTCAGGAAAGAAAGAGAAAAAACACTTCGGAAGGGGTGAGGGGGAAGTGATGGTTGTAGGGTGAGAGGGAAAGAAATCCTGAAGTTGGAAAAGAAGTGCCCTATTTCAAGGTTTCTGTCAGGGTTGAGCCTCATGTTTGGGGGCAATCTATTTGCCTTCTGGTCTGCTAGCCCTGCTGACCTTCCCCAGCCAGCCACAAAAATCCCCATAATGCCAGTTTACAAGGCAAAGTTTCCATGCTTTTCCATGCCTCCTTTTTCCTTGAAAATAGTAACTTTAAAGACGTCTAGGTTCTCTGTCAAGTTCTGGTCAAACATCTAGCTTCCCCTCGCCTCCTCCCCGTCACGGGGGGTCCCACCCAGTGAAGTGGCTAATCCCTATGGAGCCATGAAGCCGTTAGCCTCCCACAGAGCCTTGCAACTAGAGAGTCCAATGATCTAGCCTGGATTCTTTTGCCTGGTCTGGACTTGTCTCCTTCGACAGGCTAAAACAGTCTCTGCCATCGGGGGCCATGGGGCATTTCCCCACACCCTACCTTCAGCAAACCACACTGTCAGAAAAAAAAAATCGTAATTTATGAACACTTCTTCCCTTCAGCGAAGATTCTCTTCAGAGTTTCTTTAAATGTTGTATTTCTTCACTTCGTGTCTTGATTTCTAATAACTAGATATGTATATAAAAGTGTAACTTCCTATTAGTTAACTCACCTGTCCATCTTTAGTTATTAAATGTTATTTTCAGATTTATATTTAGCAAGACCCAGAAGAGTTTTACTGATCATCCAGAAATTCTTAAACTGTGTTTTAAAATGGCAAGATTTTGTGCGGTGGAGTTGTCAAGATTTGAATTCTTGGAAAATGTCATTTCTGTATGGTTTACATTATATTTGAATTTACAAGAAAATTCGATTCAGAACACCCGAGTTTCTTTTCGGGGGAAGGTGGTGGTTGATTTTCTCCGCACCCGTTAACAGAGAATTTTCTTTAGCGAGACCACGTTCCTCAGACAGGCTGTTGCAGTTACGGAGCTTCACTGAGGCTCGGAGGTTATGAATGTAAAGAGGTCAAACTCGGAAATTGAAACACACGATATAAACAAAATCCACCCATAAACAAAGAGAATAATTACAGAAGCTAGAAGCGTGAGTCAGAAATGGTGAGCTCCTGGTCGGTGGGAAGAATTATTCGTGTAAAGCTTCCCAGAGAAGGTAGAAATTTCTTAATTAAAAAAAGAAAGAAACAGGAAACAACTTGCGTTGCGACCCCGAAGTAGGTGTGCGAGAACGCAGTCTGTGAGTTCCAGGGAAAGTAAGCAGCTTCGGGACATATTCTAAAGAGCTCTTTGCAGTGCAAGAGCTTAGAATACGGTTAGTTTTACACACCGACTTTCCCGTAAACTGTTCAGGAAGCGCCTTCTTCTCGAGGCTACATCGCGTTTGTCAGATTCTTTGAAGGCGTGTGTCAACCCCCCTGCTTTGTGGGGAAAAGTAGGCAAACTGCCTGCGCGCCCGGAAACATTTTGCAACGAAGGAGCGAATGAATGACACCTGGCCCCGGAGCTGGAGACTGGGAAAGGCGGAGGAACTTTGTGCATCGCCAACGCGGAGAGCTGAAAACTTAGAACCGGGTGTAGCCAGACTTCAGAGACTTAGGCAGCCTCTCCTAACTCCCAGCACCTGCGAACAGGTGCGGCTCCGACTGAGTGGCCCAGGCCTGGAACCAACTAACCCTGGGCCAGAAGAGATGCAGCTCCCCTCGAGGGGACTCCTCAGCAGCAGACCTGTCCACCCTGCACCTTCCTCAGCTAGTGTCTTCGATGGCCGAGCCTTGTAGCCTGTGGCGCACTGGGCGCTCTCTCCCCGCCCGCACAGGGGCTCGCCTAGGTCTGATCCCTAACCCGGTGGCAAGACATTTCCTTACCTAACTTGATGGGTCTTTGCAGTAAATGAAGCAATTAAATCAGAGAAGCAGAAAGAGAAAATATACAACTAGAAAAGTCACAAGTGTTTCGTGGAGAGATGAGGGCGCAGGCTGTTCGGACTGTGGCAGAGCTGTGAGGCCCAGACTGGGAGCGGCGCGGAGCGGGACCGGTTTTCCGGGGCTGGCAGCTGCCTCAAAAAAGTTTCCTGTGGAACACTCGCCACCAGGGGCGGGGGCGGCAGACGCTGCGGTAGACGTGGGAGGGGGAGGGAGTGCGGGGCGAGGCCGCGAGGGGCAGGCTCGCAAACCGTTATAGTCCTTCAGCACCTCCCTCGGCCAGTGGCCCCCTAGCCCGCCTCCCCGCCGCCCGGCTGCCCACCTGGCGACGTGACGCTGCACCAATCCCCTTCGAGCTGCTCCTAGGCCCCCGCTGCTTGCACCGCCCTCCTCCCCACCCTGAAAGAGGCGCACCCTGCTCGGGCAGACACTGCGCTCTCGCCCTCGGAGCACCCACCCCTCTAGCTTCTTGGTCTCCAGGACAGACGCTCAGGCTCTGCTCTCGCCGTAGCCAAACTTGCTTTCCCGCCTCTCCAACTCCGACTTCCCTCCACTCCTAACTCTTTTCCCTTCACTTTCCCCTTCTCTATCACCCACGCCACAAACCCAGGTCCCCCATTCCTTCCCTCCTCCTTCTCCTTTCCTCCGACTTGTTCGATTCCACCTCAGACTCCCCGAGCGTGCTTCAGTCGCCTGCTCCCATTAGGCTCAAAGCCATGGCGGGACCTGGAGGTTGGAGGGACAAGGAGGTCACGGATCTGGGCCACTTGCCGGTGAGTAGAGGAGGCCCATCGCCCCCGAAGTGCTCTCTTCCGCAGGTTCTGAGCACTACGGGAAGGGTGGACGTCCGCAAGCCTAGTTAGGCTAGCACATCAACGGGACCACGGGAGCTGTAGGGGCCACTGAGAACAGGCTTGCGGGAAATGCGCCCCCTGGCCACCCGGGCCTCGCCAAATTCACGAAAAAGCAAAGGGCCCGGGCTGGGGGTTTGAGGGGTTGCGGGAGAAGGGATAAAAAGTGGCAGTGCAGTGGTGCGCGCCCTAAACAGGGGGATGTTTTCTAAATGTGGCCCGTTTTGTCTGCGAAGTTCAGGTACCTGTTCTAGTGGGGCTGGAGGAGAGGTCGAAGAGCGCGGCGACGCGTGGTTTCCGGAGAGCACTTCTCCCGATCACCCCACCGCCCCGTCGTTTGTTTCTTTTGCCAGAGGAGATGCCCAGTCGTGGAGTGACCTTTACTTCTAAGTGACAAGAGGCTAGAAATTAAAGCTTTGGAGTCTCACTTCTCCCACTTGCTAATAGCACTCTTGAAAACTTTATTCTGCCACGGCACCGCTCCCAATTTAGAATTGCGGGAGCAAAAGAACTTAACGCTGCTTGGGGAAGAAGTGAATTCTGCACACCCCAATTTAAAAAATTGCAATCACTAGCTAACCAGATTTAGCTTTCAACCGTGGTTTTCGTTTGTGGGATTCCCCTTTTTCCTAATGCCCAGCTTTCCTCCAGAGTTTTAATTGATGGTGAGCTATTATCGCCGTTCTTATTAGTACACTTATTATTTTAGCAGCACCATTTATTTCATTGGCATCTGGTTTCTGGCAGATATTGGATCTCACCCAAATCCATTTTTCAAGTTCCCTTTTTAGACTGGCATTTCACTCGCACTCTTTCTTGTGTGCAAAGGTCCCCTGGACTCTCTGAAAGGGAATAAGCATGCACCATGCTAGAATGATCACCAGGTAACTGTAGTTCAGGGCAGTGGCCTGCTTGCTTTAGGAAAAGCTAAATATTAACCTTGAAGTTATAGGACTATTCGAAGTCACAGTGCCTTAATTCTATACATATATGACATTTAAAGAGTGTCTTCTTGATGATGGCAGAAGCCAGTCCCCCTAAAAAAAAGGGGGCATTTCCCAAGCATCACCTATGTGAATTTACACTATAATGGTATGAAGGAGAGGGTGATGCACATGGGTGGATGGGTAACATTTCAGCAAACTGTTTTCGGCTTAAAAAAAAAGAACCTCAATATAAATACACTGAATTACAAATATTAGTACTGTAATTATTGATGCAGCTTCATAAAATAAAGTCACAGAATTTTGAAAAGTTAAATCTGTTTTGTACTCCTCATACATCTGATGCAGGTATGAGATTTCTGGATTATGGAGGCCTCAATTGGAGGTTTCCTTTATGAACAGAACTTTCATAGTCTGACTAGATTTGTTCCCCCAGTGAAAGTGTAAAGCAAACAAATGAAATGTTACCGTCCTCTTACACTCTCTGAGTGTAGAGGGGGAAAGAAAGCAAACTAGGGCAAATATGTGAAACCACACATGGGCAAATGAAATAAACTCTTTTCTAAAATTGACTAAAGTGAGGAATGGGAAAGACCTTATAGAAATGATAGAACAGGGAGCTCCAAACCCAAGGAAAAAAAGAAGAAAAGGTTTCATTGCCATAAAAAAATGGGGGAAATGGTCCAGACTAACTGACCCAGTCATGGTCCTGGGACATAAGAACTTGGTAAGAGCCAAGGGGATAAGGGGAAAGGGCTGCAATCTTTACATTGCAGTTCAATAGAATATTAGTTTTCTAGGAGTTAGTTGGTGGGGAAGTAGAGGGGAAGAAGATGTGGTTGGTTTTTAATGCAGAAGTAGGAGAAGACACACAACCTCAGTGCATTGATGCTTGGCCTCATTTTACAGATTTCATGAAAGTTTCAATGTCTTCAGCTTCTAAAAATTTCTAAATTTCTATTATACAAGAGCCATTTTATCTCATCTGGGAGGGCTTCACCATCTGGGCACATTATGCATAATTCTCCCCTTTCCCAAACATCCTGGTCTAAACTTTAAGAAATCCAGCAGAACAGTAGCACCCTGTTTAGAGTGTCCTTTATGTCGAATTTTTAGAGATGCAAAAAAGTTTATTGTTCCTTTGGTCACTGAGGTGTATTGCAGTAATTTGGTGTTTCTTTGCCTGTGGCTTAGTTCCTGATTCTCTGAAGAACTAAAAGTAAATGAAAAGGTCAAAAGACATCTAAGTGAGCTGTTTGGAAGTTTGCATTTTGATGCAAAGCAAAGATGATGATGCAAGCGAAAAAAAAAACCTGCTTATGGTGGGAGACCTCATGATAATTGTCCCCAATAGAATACATACAAAAAGTTGGCATCTGTTAACACCAAGTATACTAATTGGGCAACAGCCAGACAATGAGGGGAGGTTCAGGCTTTGGAGTTTCATATTAAGGAAAAAAAAAAAAAAATCTTGCTCTGTGTAGAATAACTAAATATGGGTCTAGTATACATTGCTGTATTATGTCATTTGTAGGGCTGGCCGGCGAAAAGACCACAACACAAAGACCCTTGAGAGAGATCCGGCTTGCTGTGCAAACTGGGATTTAAAGAAAGTGGTGCAATGTTATTTGGTATATTTGCTATTAGAAATTTTTTTAAACCTAAAATAAGCAAGATTGAAAGCTGGGGAAACCCTAAAGTTAGAGACATAAAGCATCCAATATAATAATCAGAGAATGATGGGTCAAGTACATTTTGTTTGCTAATTAATGAGTTTCTGTAATGTTTACTGATTTACATTGAGTACATATTTTTATAGGTGACAGAACATAAAAGAAAATACAGAGATTTGTGGTTTGTGCTTCCTTTTTGAAAAGACAACTACAAAGCTTTATGTCTATATATATCTGTATACATGTGTGTCTATCTATATATTTTTTTACCTTGCCTGTGAGCAATACCTGGGGGGCTGTCTATATATGTATATATTCCCCCCTCCACGTAGTATGCCTATGTCACTGAATCCTTGGGACTGGAAAATATTTCTTCATCTCCAAATCTGGCGTGTCTTTCACTATGATAGTCCCCTTTGCCTTCTGTGCCCAGTATGGTAATGACATTCCTCATGGCTGTGGCCTTGGTATTTGACACTGCCATGTGTAGTCCTAATCTATATTGGGGTCAGGATTAGACAGGCTTGCAGGACAGTAGTGGCAGAGGTGATCTGAAATAGCACATGATCCAAAAACTATATTTGAATTACATTAGGTTTATATTTAAATAGAACTGCCAGCTCTCTCAGTCTTCTACCACTCAGACCAAGCTGGCTTCTATACTCAGTCATGGAAACCGTCCCACCTTACCAAGACCCTTACTTAGCCATCTGTTTTGAAGTTTTACTTTCTACTCCACAAGGATTGAAACATTCGGCATATCCTTTACATATTCTAGAGCATCACCTCAGCATGACACTGTGTTTTGATCTATATTCTCAGTCTTCTTATTTTCTAGTTTCTAGAGCAGTGGGTGTTATTTTAGTGCACAAAATAGTGCATGACAATCATTTGGGGAATCTTAGAACCCATCCCCAGAAATTCTGATTTCATAATTCTAAGGTATGGGACAAGGAATCTGTCCCTTGTTTTTAACCAAGATTTCCCAGATGATTCTCATGTAGGGAGAATCTATGCAGTCCATAGTTTAAGAAACACTGGTCTACAGGATGAGATTTTCCTTTCTAAGTTTCCACTTGAACGGTGAAGCCCATCATTAAACTATTTCTGAAACTCACTCTGGCACTCATCACGTTACATCCATCACTTTCAGATTCTCTCTCCATAAACTCTTTTCCTAAAATTGGTATTTCTAATATTTAAAACAGAAGAAGAAACGCCTCTGCTATTCCTATAGAATTACTATAGAATCTCTTTCCTTCCTTTAGCTGGAACGTGTTCCCTAATTCTCCTTCTTTACTTCCCTAAATCTAAAATTTATTGCTACCCATTTTGGCCATTTATTGATTTCCTTTTGTTCTTTTAATTTCTGCTGTATTTGTTTCTGTTGATCAGCTTGTGCTTTTGAGTCTTTTCCATGACCAGTAAATACTGCCTTCTAGTGGTTCTTTTTCTTCCTGTTACCCCCTCCCCCTGCCCTTAATAAAATTATCCATCAGAGTGCTCATTTTCTCCCCCTCTTCTTGAATTCAAAAGACAGAAACAACTCCCCAAATTTCTGGGTTTCAGAGGGCAACTAGACTAGCACTTTTAAATTGCAGGAGACAATGTAAGTACATAGAAAAATATAACATAATATAAAGTACTTGCCCATTATTTTATGGTTCAGAAAACATTTTAAGACTTAGAATTTTAATAATTTCTTTCAAGATAAACTTTTACAATTAGTGTCCCTTGTTTACCGACCCTTTTGTTTTAATCAAACGGAACAGCAAAGCATACTGAACCACCAAAAAAATCTTCAAATTGGTACAGCAGTCAAAGACATAAGGATTCTCCTCTTCTGGTTTTCTTATCTCAGAGTGGCTGGGTGGAGGAAAGAACCAAAAACTATGGAGACCCGTCTGATATGGATCCTTTAATTCACAACGACCAAAACAAATAGATGTTCCTTTTCAATGTTTCTTTTTTTGGGAACCCAAAAATAAACCTTTTCTGACTATAATTCAGTGGAAAATCTGATGTAAGAAATTGAATAATATTACCCTAGTAATTAGCATAGCTCCGCTCCTCTTTTTCCTCAGTTTGACAGTCATTTAGTCTTGAAAGATACTAGTGCAGAAACAGGGAATGAAAAATATTGCACAAAACTAATGAAAATATACTCTTAGAATAGGTGAATACTAAGTTGAGTTGCTTGAAGAACAAAGGAAAAGTTTTTAAAACCTTTTATTAAATGTGAGGATGAGGAGAATTAAGACTTTTTGGTCATTGATAAGCAGGAAAAAATTTCTGAACAACATGAATACAGACACAATAAGGCCACCAAGAATTCCACGGGCATTTTATTGTCCCTGTCCTTTTCCTTGGTGTCTTTTTTGAGTCATGAGAGACCTGAGTTCAAATATGAGTATGGCTATTGAGTGCTAGAAAAAGGATTAAAGAAATTTAAGACTGCATGCTCAAAGATTCAGAAATAAAGTTGTTCAGATAATACCGTTATTGTCTAGTATATGGTATCTGTTTAATAATCCTTCAAACAAGTATGCTAAAGTGGTAAAGTCTTCACGTCAAACCTTAGCAACTTCTTTGTTGGCTAAATTTTTCCCATAAATTTTTCAATGAGTTATAACAACAATATGCTTAATATTAAGGCCACTGTAACAATGTGTTTTACCTCTTGAATCCTTAAAATTATCATTTTAAATAACTTTTGTATTTTCATTGGGAGTATGTTCCATGAACTATTTGCTTTTAATGATACTGTGCATATTGTGACATTGATTTTGATGATGATTTTAAGAAAATAGACTGCTGTTGTCTCTAACAATGGTTGTATCAATCCAGTGGAAACATCTGGATTTTAGAACGTTGAAATATGATTTTTTCTATAAAATTTTAGAGCTAGAAAATCACCTAACACAGAACGTCATTTTATGTATGTGAAAACTGAGTCCCAGAAAAAGTAAATAACTTACTGAGGGTCATATAGTTAATTAATGGCAGAACTGGGGCTAAAACTCCAGTCTCCTGACTCTGTCCAGTTGAATACTTATTGGTTGAAATAATTTCAAAGCTGTGTGACTGTTTTGCTAAATTATACAAGTATCACGTCAGTTTTAAGGAGTCCATAATTTCAATCGTATACATTGCATACACTCAATAGTTTTTCTATTTAGCTTATATTTATCACAAAGATAACAGTGTTTTCAAACAAGATTAAAGGAAGTTTGTGTATATAAAATGTGCTTTCTATAAGGCATGTGAATTTGCCAATGTTCCTACTACTTTGTGTAAATTGGCATCTACTCATAGCTTTGCTAAAATAGCAAAATATGCTGCTAGAATAAAAGTTTAAGTCATGAAAAAATTCAAGAAACCATGTTTTGTAATGAACAAGAAGTAAATATCTATATTTTAAGGTAAGGAAACAATGTTTAAGGGTGAATATGGAAGCCTTAAGAATCTGTCCATAAGTATATTATATTTGTCTCCTAAGGTGCCGCATTTAGGCATAAGATACAGAAAATACCATCTGTGAATTTGTACCATGAAAAGGTATTCATCTAATGCAAAGATTCACTTACAAATAAAAACAAATCTGTCCAGTCTGTTTTTTAAAAATGATGCTCTTTTAATGCCACAATCTTGCTTTGTTACTCATGTTTGAAGGTGATATTCTTAAGAATCACTATTTAACATCTTTCTGTGTTGACAGATAGTAACTACACTAGTTGGGGTGAAGATTAAATAATGTATATAACTGATGGTTCACTGTGTTGTATACTTGAGTATATTTAATAAAATATATGTAAAAAATAAAGAAATAATTACTATTATATGAATAAGCTATCTAGATTTTGTATTCAAAATATACTCATGGCTGTATGCTAAACTTTCTGCCTGTCTGGTTAGCACTCAAAAGATGGATATTAAAAGTATTTCAATTGCAAGTACATGTATTTGTTTCTATTTTAATAATCTTTCCATTTATATTATGAATATACCTCAACTAGACATGATAATATGCATTTTACAGTGTTATGATAATTATACAACTACTTAATGTCAATACAATCATTTCTTTTTTATAAATAACTGTGCTCAATCTAGGGAGATTGTGACATGAGTATTCTTTTGGTTAATGACACTTATGTTTTTCCCGTGGACATTCTAAGGGAGTAAGGCAGATTGAAATATCATTCTAGGTAGCTGAATGTTTGCCTATTTTTCCAAGAAGACTGACAGTTTTTCTCCTACATTTTTCCAGGATCCAACTGGAATATTCTCACTGGATAAAACCATTGGCCTTGGTACTTACGGCAGAATCTATCTGGTAAGTAGAGATAGATTATGTATTCATTTTTCATTCCCTGATAATAGCAATGACTGCAAGTCAAAACCCTTCACTGAAAATCAAATAATGCCAAAACACAACATTTCACTTTGAGGGATGATACAAAGTAAGACAACTCAGTAACACCTATGAGAATTATTACCAAAATAATTGATTAGATACCTATAGTAAACCAACCACACTGAAGATCTAAAAATTATTAGCAGAAAATTGATAAAATCACCAATGGAAAAGAACAAATACAAATAAGATGTACCAAAATAAAAATATTACTTGTTTTATAATATACATCCATACCACTCTAATCACTCACATTCAACTTTCAAACTAAATGTTACACAAAGGAAAGTTTCCATAGTATTCTTTATCATACTGTGTATGTGAGTGTGCACATGTGTGTGACAGAGTTTGCCAAAGAATCTAACAAGAAAACTCTGTATTTATTTAGTGATTATTTATTAAGCACAAAGTATATGCCAGGTATAGTCATAGTGTCTGGAGATAAAGTGATGAATAAAGCTTTTCTAAAACATGAGCCCCAGACCTCCCTGGCTCCTCTGGGGCTTATGTTTTAGAAATGTGTAATTGATTAAATGTGTGTATGTGGAGGTGGGGGAGGCATTGAGCGAGGCACATATATAAGTAAGCACACAAATAACTGTATAATTGTAACTGTAATATACTTTTTGTAAGATAATTCCTAGTGATATAAAAGGATAGAACAGGGGGCTTAATTTAGATTTAATGATTCAGCATTGGCCTCCGTGGGGAAGTGACTAGTAAACTGAAAACAGGAGTTAATCAACAAACTGAAAACCAAGCACAGTTATGGTTGTGCAGGATGATGTTGATGCATTCTAGGTAGAAGCACGGGCAGTGTTAAGGGCTGGCTTGGCTATGGGGGTGGTTTAGTGGCCTTATCACTTTGATCAGGAGCCCTTCCTCCACCATTATTTGGGAATATACATTTTCTCAATCTTGTATAAGTTTCTGTACAAATGCAGTGTTCCTCTTCCCCCAGCCTGTCTCTCAAAAACTACCACACTGTCCCTAGGCTGATCCTTACTATAGACAAGCCCTCTACTAAGCCCTCTGCTTGCCAAGCTTTGTTATTTTAGGGCTACATCTGCCCAAAAGGGGCTTCTTTTAGAATTCATCTACTTAGATTGAGGTGGGGGAGATGTTAAAATTTTGTACAAAAGTGCCTATAACATAGAAGTTGAGCAGTAGGAACGGCATTGTTGAAGGGTCTTAAAATCAGAAAGAACTTTGGTGAATACAGAGAGTAGAGAAAATGCCCTTATTCATGACAAAATTTTTAAAACTGTCTTGACCATACCTATTAATAGAACCAATAAGCTATATACAGTGATGTGATACATAAATATATTATGTTACTTCAGTTGCATCCCAGACTGATTAGTTAACATTTGTGTGATCCAGGTGAATTTTGCCACCTTATATATAAAAGTTCCTCTTCTTTGTGGTACATTTACAATCTCCATGGCTCTATACACATTTTAAGTCCTGAAGGGTGTGTGTTTAAGGGGTGTGTGTGTGTGTGTTTGTGTATACTTGTTTTGATTTGATGTTATAGAGCTTTCTCTATGACCAGATCATAGGAATAAAAGCTTCAGCCATATAAGTTAAAAAGCAAAGCTAAGGTTAGATAACACAAAAAGGTTTTTCATCATCAAGCATCAGAACTGTGACGACATAAAAAGAAGAAAAGTCAAGAGGGTAAAAAGGTGAGTTGCACATGATAATTCACTTTTTAAACTAAGGTTTATTGAGGTATAGTTTATACTCAGTAAAATTTACCCTTTTAAGTGTACAATTTTATAAGGTTAGGCAAACACATTTAGTCATGTAACTACCACCAGAATCAGGATATAAACCCACAATACTTTGTTCCCTATATTTAATACTACTACTTTTTATTTAGCTAATTATCTTTCAGAGCATTTAAAAAGAAGAAAGTATTTTTATTTTTATATATTAATTTGAGTCATTTCTGGAAACTTCACTACTTTGGGTAAATTCAAGTTTCTCTCTGAGTATGATAGAGACATTAAGATTTTTCTCTTTATGTTTGTTTTTCAGCAGTTTAAATATGAAATGTCTAGGATTTCTGGTGTGTATGTGTTTTGTAGGGTATCTATCATCGTTGGGGTTCTTTGAGATTCTTGGATATGTGATTTGACATTATATTATTTGGGAGAGATTATTGGTCTTTATCCCCTCAAATATTTCTTCTTCCTTATTCTCTTTTCCTTGTGGAAATCCAGTTTCATAAGTGTTAGACCACTTGATGTTAACCCACAGCTCTTGGATGCTCTGTTTTGTTTTGTGTAGGTGTGTGCATGTTTATTTGTTTTTATCCTCTTTTCTCTTTGTGTTTTGGTTTGGTTTGAGTTTTTGGCTATATTCAGTTTCACTGATTACTTTCTCATCTCTTCTGAGTCTACTGATGAGACTGTCAAAGGCATACCTTAGCTCTTTATTGTTTTTATTTCTAGCAGTTCCGCTTGACTTTTTTTATAGTTGACGTCTTTGCTGAAATCTCCATTTGCTCATGTATGTTTTCCATGTTTCACTAAAGCCTTTCACATATTAATTATAGTTATGTTAAATTTTCTCTCTCACTGTTTGAATATCCAAGTCATCTCTGGGGCTGGTTAAATTGCTTTGTCTCTCAAGAGTTTTTTTTTTTTCTTGTTTTTCTGTTTCTCAAAATTTTTGTTTGAATGTCAGACATAGTATATAGAACAGTACAGGTTGGAGGAAATACAATTTATGTCTTGAAGTGGGCATACTTGTTCTGCTAGGTTGTCAATATGGGAGGTTGAGTCAATCTAATAAGATGAGCTATGTTTGAGTTATGTTGTTGCTGTGGTTACCCTCAGTTCACTACTAGCTCCAAATTCCTTTTTTACCTTTTCCATGGGGGTTGGTTTGCTAAAGGTTTTTTCTCAATACTCCCATCCTACCCTCAGCTTTAGACCTTCCCTGTGCATCTGTGCCTCAGAGAGATTCTCTGTCCATGATCTCGTGCCTGTCACAGTATACAGTGGTATACTGTTATTGCCCCTTACTAAGCACTTGCTACTCTGGTAGTGTAGAGCAGGGACGAGTTCTCTGTTTTCCTGATTCGGCCTCAGTCTTTGGCAGATCCTGTGCCTCTGGGTCATGGGAGTAGGACATTCTTAGTTGTTCTTCCCCTCTGCTGATGGTGGCTCACTTCTAAATGGTCTGGGCCCAGGATTAATTCCTGCCCCTCCCCAGAAGTAGAGGAGTTAATTTTTACATTTCCTCCAGCTGCAGTAGGTCTTCATTGTACCCTGGAGGGAAGAGGCTTTTCTGCCCTTCCCCTAGAGTTTCAGGCTTTTATTCCTTAGGGGGAAAGGAATTAGACATGGTTTCATGCTCTTCCTACTGCAGTGGCTTCTCCTCTCCACCAACTCAGTAGCATAAATCCGTGAAGAAAAACCTGTGAATAATTCCTCTCATATCTGTGGCTCCCAAGAGTACTCTCATGCTAATCTATACTTGGTCTATAGCAGTTTATTATAAATTTATCTGAGTTCTTTATACCAGCTTCTCTGATGACCCTGTCTTCCCGTGTAGGCACAGGCGAGCCAGTGCTCACATCCCACCTCTCCTTGCAGGTGTTTGTACTTCTTATGACTTGCTGCTGGTGGGTTGCCTTGAGACCTTTTTGGGTTCAAGAAAAGTTATGATTATTATTAAGCTTTTTCTTGTTAGGTTGAAGGTAGAGCATTATTTCCAGCTTTCCACATCCTCATCAGGAGCCAAAAGTCCATGCCAATTCCTTTTAACTGAGTTTTCATGAAGCATCTACCATAGGTCCTGTATAAATTTATAATTCCTATGAATTTTATATATACCTACTCAGATCAAGAAATAAAAAAACACTTTCTACCACGAGATCTTCAAGGTAGAAACCTCTTTGTTATAGAAGTTATATGAGTACAGGTGCTTTATTTATATTACACAGATTTTCCTTTGCCACTTTCATGTGACCTCCTTTTTTCTACTTCAAATTAATTTCCTTCTGTAAAAAGTTTTGGGATGGTGGCATTGTATGTCAATACCTTCATGGAAAACAATCTTGAATATACAGAAAATGCTTTTAAAATGTTCATACTCTTTATAACAATAACCCCACTTTTGAAAATCTGTAAATATGAAAAATATAGAAAAATCATAAAGATATTCATTTTAGCAGAAAGGTAGCATATTATGGTGAAAAGAGGGCCTGTTTTAGAATTAGGCTGACCTGATTCAGTACTCACTTAACCATAAATTAGCTATGACCTTGAGCAAGCCATTTAACCTCTGGGTATTACAATTTTCTTATTTATAAAATGGAGCTAGTAGTACCTACCTTGCAAGAATTGATAAAATTTAGAAACAATGCATATTAAATACTTGGCACATGGTAGAGATCTTTTAAAGGTAGCTATTAATATCATTATTACTGTTACTATTATTCATAAAAAGACAAATTCAGCAGAATCCTAAATATAAAAAATAAGATGAGATAAATTACTTTATATTCAGTCAATATACCATTGCTCTGAAAAGCAATGTTTATGAAGATATCTAGCATAATAGAACTATGTTTATGATGTTAAATAAAGTATTCCATATTGTATATATACTCTACACCTATGTTACCACATGTACATGAAAATGGTAAATTAAATGGTTAGAATAGTGAGATATTGGATATAATTTTCTATTCTATATTATTTCTATTCAGTTTCTAATGTTTGTAATACATTATTTAGGTAGAAGATACATGCACATATATATAAATATATATACACACACACATATATAAAAATATATATATACGCACACATATATGTGCATGTATGAGACAGTACCAGATGCTATATAAATACCCTGTACAGCAAAATGAAAGCCTGATACTGTTCAAATTTAATGTCAGA